ATTACTAAATACATGACTAAATATTCACATGATTGACTATAATATTGACACTCAACATAGAATCTCTGAAGAATAATGAAATGGAGCTCGACAAGAAAATGTCTAGCTAAAATTAGGAATCAGTGGTTTTTGTGCTGTATTTTGTGCTCTACTTTGTTTTACAGTGTCCTGAAAGACTAGGAAAAAATGTCTAGAATTTCTAAAGCTTCCATAATAATAATGCTTTTCTCTCCCTATGGTACAAATCTTTTGCCATTTACAGTCTACACAATAGGCATATCTGACTTTTCTAATAATACACATGTAAACGTGCATATTTATAGAATTATTAATGAAAAAATGTGATCTCCAGGAATTACTAATTGGTAGGTGGATACTCCTGTGCTTTTTCCTTACTGTAGGCTGTGATTCAGCTTTGTTGAGCAGTACTTCCATATAGGGGTCTCTCCATTACTTTTTATATGAGGTTTTATAATATACAGGAAGAGAATGCAGTAAAGCTTGGCTAAATAAATCATATAAATACATGAGAAATTTGGATTGAAACGAACCTTAAAAGAAGCCTAGATTAAAATTTTCCACTGTCAATTTCAGCAACAGTCGACTCATATATGCAAGGGACTTTTAAATTAATAGTAATGGAAAATTAAATTCAACTCTAAAGCCAAGTCCTATAAACTATTTCACTAGAATAAAATAATGAAAATAATATATTTGTATGGTGGTATGCATTCTACAGATTACTCTTTTATGTACATGACCTAATTTTTTTTTAAATAGCCTATATTTTTCTTATAGAAAGAAAAACTGAGGCTTAGAATTTAAAAGTTTTCTAGCTGAGCAGTGTAATTTGTCATCTGATTCTTGATCCTCAATCAAATTATATACCCAGCTAGAAAACTTAGTCTTGTCCCAATAGTAAATCCTTTTCTCTTAATATATGCAATGTGATAGAAGGCTATGTGAAAATCTATTTTAAAAAATGCACTAGAGCTGCTTTTAATTGTATGTTTAGTAGCAAATATTTGCCTTTTGCCCAAGAAGTCATGAGTTCTGTTTGCATTTCTGTCACTGATTGTGTGCTGAGGCATAGTTTGTATGTTTTAGTCTATACTAATGACCCCTGCATGTTTATCCATAACCCTTGAGAGCTATGACATTATTTAATTAACCCTGTGGTTTCTCCCTCTAGGGGCTTGGAGTAGGCTGAACAGATTTTAATGTTGGTGGCTATTTCCTGTCATATGACAGATGCTGATAATTATCAGAGAATCCCTTCTGAGAGATATGTAATAGGGTCAGAAAAGAGTCAGAGGAAGATTAAAGAAGGAAAGATAGTTTCTAATCCTCTTGGAAAAAACTGCCATAAAGGATATAGATGGAACCTGTTTTTCAACTGTGTTCTCTTAATGAAATTCTAATCCTGAACAGGCAAATAGTAAAGAATGATATATAATTTGATTGAGGAGCAAGAATCAGATGGCAAATTAGACTGCTCAGTCCAATATTTAATACCTTACAGCAAACAGATCGGAAATGTCGACACTTGGTAATGTAAATAATTGCTAGGCTAGGTTTATGGTAGTCTTGCATCATTCCCCTCCCTCCAGCCAAGCTCTTTTTTTCCATTTGTTCTGATATTCCCTGAGATTATGGCCTCTCTGAACAAATTAGTACTACCCTACTATGTCTAATTAGTTATTAAATAACTGATTTTCTTCTGTTTTAGTGAGCTACTCTCCTGGGAGTCTTTATGTATTTCAAATTATACTGAGATTTCTTGTTAGATAAGAACCTCCTATTAGCTTGGTACACCAGAGTTCTCTGCTTCTAGTACTATTCTCAACCCCCAAATGACATTTTAGTTCTAACACCAAATTCCTTAGAATATACTTTCCTTTTTTCTGTTCTGTTTTAATCTAATATTTACATTTTGTAATCATTTCCTTTTCTATTATAAAATATATAATGGACTTTAGCTGTGTTTGGTTTCTCCAAAGACAGCTAAAAATATAAGAACTTTAGGGTATGATTTAAGTGAGTTCAAATTCCTATTTCATAACCTACAAGATGTGTAATATTGGGCATATTGTTTAATCTTTCTTCCATTTTTTCACCTTTAAAATAGTTATCAGTAGTTGCCATACATGATTGTTATGAAGATTAAATGAGAAAATTCTCACTTCCAACAAACTGAAAAGAATGCTGAATTTAAAAAGTTAAATTTAATTATTTTATTGTTATGGGCTAAATTGCGTGTCCTCCATGGGCCCCCCGCCGCCATCCCAATTGCTATACTGAAACCTAAATACCTCAGTATCTAGGCTTTATTTGGAGAAAGGGTCTACAAGAGGTGATTCAGTTAAAATGAGGCCATTAGAAGGGACATTAACACAGTCTGACTGAAGAGGACATTTGGACACGGAGGTACTAGAGATGTGCACCCAGAGGGAGATCATGAGAAATTATAGTGAGAAAGAATTCATATGTAACTCAAGGAAAGACATCTCCAAAGAAACAAGGTTGCTGACACTTTGATTTTAGACTTCCAGAGTTTTAGGCTTCGGACTTTCAGACTTTAGACTTCCAGAACTGTAAGAAAGCACCCAGTCTAGTTATGGAAATGTTGGCAATATTGTGTGTAAATGTATATCTATATGTAGATACGGATACATATTTCAAAAGAATTGACCCCCCCACCTTTTGCCTATTCCAGCTCCTATTTAATCTTCTAATTAGTCACAAAGCAGTGATGTGATTATGAGTATGATCTCAGAAGTTAGATAGCCTTGATTTTGAAGACAGTTTATCCATCTAAGTAACTGAGTGAATTTCTTAAATGTTTCTGAATTAAATTTCTTCACCTATAAAATAGTGACATATACATCATAGAGTTATAATAAGGATCAAATTGAAAGATATTTGTAAAGTTCATAATATAGTGTTTGGTGCACAAATGCTAAATATCTCTTTATAAGAGGGCCACTGTTTTATCAAATTAGTTTTCTCTAGTGCATTTTGCAGAGGGCCTCAGAAGTGACATACACGGATCTTTCTACAATTAGCTGATTGTTTTAAGGTATGGAAAAGCAGTTTTATTACCTTTATTGCTGAATTAAAACTAAGAGCACAAATCCTTAAAATGAGTTATGATATATTTTTAACATACATCCTAGAAATCCTTCCAATATATTAGATCTGTGTAAAGATTTGATGATTTTGCTGCAAGGATCTCTTAAAGGTTTTTTCTTTATTGCAGTTCTTCATATTTGTCATTTTACAAAGGCTTATTCAAAAATTTCTCTCCATAAGTTATTCTAATTTGCAGTGCAATGATCAAAGCTCACCATTACTATCTGATCCAATTCTAAAATTCCCTACATTTATAAGGAATATATCACAGTTCAGTTTCATTCCATGTGAGATGGTTTATAAAATACCTTATTTTACTTTAATTAATTAAAGATGGTATTTACTTCCAGAGATATTCACTGTGCTTCTTCCACCTAGTATGACTTTTCAGCTATAATAGTTTGTGTCATTTCCTCACACATATAATACACTCCATCTTTTGCTTATTTTTAGCCTTTGCTCACAGTTTGTTTATTGGCATCACAACAGCCTCTATCCACAGGTTCTATCTCTACGATTGCATTTATGTCAGTATTTGTACTTACTGTTATTGAATCAAATTAATAGTTACCAGACACTTCATATCAGTATAGACACATAGTATAAGCACTATGCTTATACATAGTGGGGGAAACAAAGATATTTAAAATAGTACCTAAGAGTCCACAATTTCATTATTCTAGTCATATATATATATTAATATATATATATATATTAGACTTAAAATTGCTTGAAAACATTTACATACTCTGACTTGACTTTTCTTTCACATTTTATTTGTCCCACCTAAAGAGATATCATCTATTCTGTCAACACTTTAGAACACAAGTGGGCCAACGAAATCTTTCCAGAGTTCTCAAGCAGTCTTTTTCAACCTACTTAGTGTGCTTTTTTCAGTATCAGTTATATCCTCCAATATTTACAACAAAACCCCAACTGGTTTGCTAAGATAGCATTACTGTTAGTGATGAGTTTTATGGGGTTTCCTTGCAGAAGTTACAGCTCACTTTGCTGAATCAGGGTATCTTCTTTTTCATTCCCACACACAAAAAATCACTTCTTAATGCATTTGTCTTGCAATGCTAAGCAAGACAAAAATTCACAATTCTATGTCTGCTTTCAGGAATGTTACTGTCCAGCTATAGTAATGAGAGACTACCAGGTAGAAAGATGGAAGAGTATTTGGGACGATTACTAATCTGTTGTGTTGCCCAGATTGACGTCAACAGCTAGTTAAGGCCCCCTCAGCTGCTCTTCATTTTCAGAGTTAGGTCTAAATTTTCCCTAATTCAGGGGCAAGTAAGTACTTAGGACCAAACCTTCCCATCCTAATGCAGTTTTGACGAAAAACAAAATCGTGCACCTTTCAAACCCAGTATTGTGACTCATAAAAAAAGCTGGAAATATTTCTTAAAAAATGGGTTAAATGAGAAAAACATTTCTTAAAAAAAAATCCGTATATGTAAAAATGGGGGGAAACGACCATTCTTCGTAAGAGGGAACAAGGTGAGCAATTAATTAGCTTTTTTCGGATCTGAAATAGTTTTCTCTGGCAGCGGTGACCGGTTAAACAATTATGCAAGTAGTAGGGCAACGAGGGAAGCCCAATTAGATGCACTTGGCGAGCGGGAAGATGCTCATACAGGCGATACACTGCAAAATACCTGTCCAGTCCACAATATTGTCTACTGTCAAACCCAAGAAAACCCTTCCTGCTGCCTCGGATTCAAGGAGCCTAAATTCGCACGCTTCCAGGCATTCTATTGATTCACACCCGCGTCCTTCAACAGGTAGCGCCAATTACATCCCCCACAGCACGTCCCCAAGTATACTGGCCATCATTGCTGTCAATCAAATACTTGACTTACCTTTCTAAATTCTTCCCTCCCATTTCATTAGGTTTGCCTTCGGCCTATCCCCAAATTTCTTCCGCGCCTAGCGACCGCAGAATGTGGTCCTATCCAGTCTAGGATTGGAGGAGAGGCCACTCCCGCTCTTTGACGTCCAGGAGCTCTCCGCCCCTTTCGCGTCCCCTCGCAGCTTGGCGAGGAGGGGGCGGGGCGACCGAGGGGGCGGTTTGTGGGCGGGGCCTGCTACCCACGGCGGGAAGGCGGAGCCTGTGGTGGAGCCTTGCTGCTCCGTTAGGACCTCGGAGAGCGCCCGGCGCTGCGACCAAAGGGACGCGAGAAGCGGCTGGCTGGAGCCTGGCTGGACCCACGCCTGCAAGCCCGCCTCCCTCCGTACTTGCAGCTTCCCGGGCTGGCAGGCGGTCAGTGGCGGCTGAGGAAGGTGCCTAAGTCGGGAGTCAGATAGTCATCCCTGTGGGACGCGATGCTGCCGTCCAGCCGTGGCTCCCTCACACCTGTGTGTTTGTGAGCTTGAGCGCGGGCGCGCGACCGTCTGCCTGAGGGTGTTTGTGTGTTTGCGCGCCACGGGCCACAGCCCCACGCCTGGGCGCTTGGCCCGGGAAGGGACCGCGGGAGCTGCGGCTCTATGCACCCAACAGATTGAGATGGAACTCGGGCCGCGGCTGTCACCAGCACTGCTGAAGTCCCCCTAGAGCCGTTGTGGGGACAAGCCGACCCGTGGGCTGCACAGGGCTGCGCGGCTGCGGGCACAGTGGGGCGGAGGGTGGAGGGAGGAGGGAGGGTGCTGGAGGAGCTGGGAGGGAAGGGAGAGGCGCGGAGGCAGCCGGTGCAGCCACCCCTCCAGTCGGCTGTAGCTGTGGGTCACCCGCAGAGGCTTTGGAGTCCAGGCTAAAAAGCCTCTACCCCCAATTTCCTATAGAGAAAAAAGGAGTGTTGAAGATAACGGGGAGAGCCCAGAAGGTGGTGGCGGATTAAATACCAGTCCTCAACCAGCACCCCCCACCCCCACGTTGTTTTTCTGAAAATAAAATTTTCGGAGCTGAACCTTTGGGAGGAAAGCCCGCCTTTAAGAGAGCGAGAGAGTGTTGGTCTGTTGGACTCTGGTTTGATTGTATAATAATGATGATATAATGCTAATGACGATGATGACATTGCCTTTTATTTTTACCCCAGTGCTGATAAAGCGTAGCTCCAGCTGGGGAAAAAGCTCATGGAAATTTGATGTATGAGGCGGAAATACTGTTGCTTTTAGAATTAATGCTTTTTAATGATATGATTTTTAGAATTAAAATTTGACAAAATGAAGCCTGACTTCCCCCCAGTCATCTGTAGACAATTCTCGTTAAGTGGGGACTAGCTACTGCCTTGACTAATGAAAAGCTAAACACTTTTATCTACGTGTAATTTCATGTGTTAAGTCACTCTTCTCTCTAAATTTCTTGACAGTTTTTAAAATGAAGAAATTTAATTTCCGAAAAGTTTTGGATGGCTTGACGGCGTCTTCCCCTGGCAGTGGTAGCAGCAACAGTGGTGGTGGGTCTGGAAGTGGTTCCCAGCATCCTGGAGGAACTGCAGGGGTTCTAAGAGAGGAGATTCAAGAAACCCTAACTTCAGACTATTTCCAGATTTGCAAGGTAAATTTTGAATGGACTTAGAGCCTGTTATGTATTTGCTTTACTGTTGTGAAAAAAGAAAGATAAGGGGGGGGCATGGGGAGGGCACTAGACACTAGGGACTGAAAATTGTTGAAATGCCAGCATCAGAGTCTGGTGCAGAGAACTCTGGATAGATCAGTTTGCATTAATAAATATACTCCAACAAACATCAACTTCAGCATTAACTTAAAAAGCAGTAGTAGTTTAAAGGGGGAAAAAAACAAGTAGAAAGTAGAAATTGCAAGATAATTTTAAGGTCCAATAGTGGACAAATATTTAAATATAGTGTATTATATGTAAATACTAAAATAAAGGAGAAAGTCATCATTCTAGAGAATCCCGTATTGGCATCAGAGAAACTGTTATATTATTTCATTGTGAAATTGTTAAATCCATCAAAATGTTGGTAGACTTAAGTAGATAATAGCTAGATAAATATATCCTTAAATCTAATGGCACTGTCTTAAAATCATTGTTTAAAACTCTGAATAAAACCCCTCATATTCTTAAACTTTTATAAACTAGTGAATGAACAAATGCCATGGGCTTAATTCTAGTAAAGATTTGTAAGAACTTAAAAATAGCCTATACTCTGGTTTATTCAGGAAATATTTTGGTAATTATTCTAGAATGTTGAACTTTTAATGAATAAACAAAAGAATTTTTGTTGGGTAGAGATGAGAATTTGTAAAAGCAGTATTACGTTAATAATACTTGTAGATATTGCTGTTTTATTCTTTTGTGGAAAGGTTATTACCTAGGAATGTGGTTTTGACTTAACATGTGCAATAAAATAGTCACTAAAATCATTCATATGCATGATACAGAGGAATATAGTTTAATGTGTTTTAGTACATGAAAACAAGAAATTTTTGACATTACAAATTAAGTACTGTATTTTTGTTCAATAACAAGTTTTTTGGAATTGTTAACATTATTTTTGTATTAATTATGTATAGTAAGCTTAATGTTCTATTTTCATCAAAATTTTGAAAAAATTTCCAATTTCTCAAGGTCATGAATGTGATTATGATGTGTTTAGTAAAGGAAAATAGGCAAGAGAAAGATAAATTTCTTTAACATAGTGGCATTGGGATGTTGAGGTTGTAAAATTAATAGAAGAGGTTTTTAAAAAATTTGGGGAAATGGTGAATAAAAAAAGAATAAAGGGTATATAAATAGTCCTCTTCCCATTATATCAGAGAGGAACAGTCATGTAAAGTACAGAAGTAAAATGTGTACCACTTCAAAAACATACGGCATGGTAGAGAGACCACTGACCTAAGAATCAGAAAATTTGTATTAAAGCTCTGCCACTTGCCATTCATATAATCTTGGGAAGACCATTTGTCTGCCTTGAGCCTTGATTTTCTTATTTATTGTCTGGTAGTATGTATTTCTGGTCTTCTCACCTTATAAAGTTATTGAGAAGAGCAGACAAGACAATTGGGGAAAGTAACAAAAATTGGAAAAGATAAATTCAAATCTTTAAATCATCTTGTATTTGGTGCAATGACTATAACCACTGGGTTATAATAACATTAGTTATTAACTTTTAAGGATAATTTAAAGATACACAATTTATTAACTAAATGCTAATATCACAGAAATCTTAATAGACAAAGTACTTTGGATAGTAACAGTTCATTTTAAAAAGTGGTTATCAGACTATTATAAGTTATCTGTACTATAATAAAATATATCAGAGTGGATTAAGGAAATTCTAAAATTAGAATGGTTACTAAAATGAGAACTTCACTTGGACTCACCGATTAAATGTGCAAAGAACATTCTATTCTGAGTATTAAGCAGTTGACACCTCCTGGGTACTCTATCTTTTTTCTATGTAGCCAAAATTAAAGTATAAATCTAGAATCTGTTTGTTTGAAAACCATTTTCTTCTCTAGTATCTGACTGACCATCAAATTTTATCTACCTTATTTTCTTGGTATTTCTGAAATGTATTCCCTTCTAATCATTCCATCTTTTTTTTGTTTTGTTTTGTTTTGTTTTTGTCTTGGTGTGTTGAAATCACTTCCTAACTGATCTTTCACCTCTTGCTTTACCCTATTCTAACTCATTTTGTCATAATAATGGTAATTTCTGCAATATAATGGTAATTCACTTCCCTTCTATAAATTGTTAGCTCCCCTGGGGCAGTAATGCTCTAAAATAAAAAAAAGGTCTTATGTGAAAACCCAGTAAGTAACATGTAATAAATAAAAGTGGTAATTATTAGCATATATTTACTTTATAAATTATAGTGACTTATAAATTTGGGTTTGTTGTATAATATTATCCATAGGCAGTTAGTAGAGTTAGCTTTAAAAAAACAAACCACCTCTGTAATCATAGATACATATGTAAGACATTTTAAAAACTACAGAAGCAGTAGAAATAATTTTGGCTCAAGGTCAGCAAAACACAGGTTAGTGCACTCGTTAACTGCAATTTGTTTTAAGTATGTATTCATTTGAATATACATATATATTTATGAAATACACAAAATGCCTTTTCTAAACATGAATTCTATAAAATACAACTTGAAATTGCTCACAGCTGAACTTTATAAGGAGATGGTTCCTTTCAGAAGAGGTTCCTGTTATAATTTTGTTGCTTTACTAAGTATATTTCATTCTCTGCAAATATCATATTTTCTCATATCACAATGCCCTTTTTTAATCTATTTCTTTTGACTACAAAAATCTCTTCCAGCTTTAGTTGGAAAACTCCTGGTTACCCTTTACCTCAAAGATTAAATTCTACCACCATGAAACTAGTTTTGACTGCTATGTTCTTCATTTATATGCCCAGGCAAAGTTGGTTTTTCTACTGTTTTCCTACTGTACCAGGAATATACCTAGTATGTGAATTTAACATCTTATTGTGATTAAAATTTAATTCTCTGTCTCTCCTTATACTATGAACTATTTGCAAGGCAGATTTATTTGGTTTTCAATTCATCGTTAGGGTCCTTACTACATAGATCAGTGGTTCTCACTTCTGTTGAAAAGAGAGCTTACTAGCTCCATCCCAGTATTAGAGAATCAGTCTCTAAGGATGGAGCCTAAGCACTTGATTTTTTTAAATTAGCTTTTTTTTTAAAAAAAAGATTTATTTATTTGTACAGAACTGGGGTACAGGCCAGAGATGCGGAGGGTGAGAGGATTCACCAGAGACAGAGGGGAACAGAACAGGCTGACTGATGAAGTACACTGCTGAGGGGAGCAGTGGGCGGGTCAGGAGAGGTCTGCCACGCCATGTGGATCTCCTCCGGGGCAGGCGGGGATCAAACTCATGCGGAAGTGGCTTAAGCTTCTTTGTGCAGTGCTTTAACCCGCTGCGCCACCTGGGAGAGCCTAAAATTAGTTTTTAATTGAGGTTATGTTGTAATACCCCCTTCAGTATTACTACCACAGTGCACCTACCACCCACTCACTCATCTACCACCATGGACATTGTGCTTCCTTTCCTCTTTGTTTTCTCTTCCCACTCACTAACCCCTTAGTGTTTCAGTTCTGGAGTCAGCTATCAGGAGTTAGTTTTTTGCTTGTCTTTATCTGACTATTAATTTAGTTACTTTATATTCCACATATTATTGACACCGTCTGGTAAATTTCTGTTAGCATTACTTTTTCAAGCTCTGTCCATGTTGTCACACATCTCATGAGTTTATCCTTTTTGACAACAGAGTAGTACTCCATTGTGTATATGTACCAAATCATCTTGATTCACTCATCTTTTTGGGCACTTAGGCTGTTTCTATAATTTAGCTTAGTAAATAGTGCTGTAATAAACACAGGAGAGTAAGTTTCCTTTAAAATTGTTGTTTTTGAACTTTTTGGATAGTTACCTAGGAGTATAATTACTGGGTCAAATGGCAGATCCATCTTTAATGTTTTTGTTTTGTTTTCTTTGAAAGATTTATTATTTATGCATACAAGAGCAGGAGGATAGGTCAGAGCTATTTGTGTGTATATGGTGGAGGGTTGAGAGGATTTATTGGAGACAAGGGTGGGGAGTAGAGCAGGCAGATTGACTGAAATACACTACTGACAGGAGAAATCAAGACAGGAGAGGTCTACTGTGCCATGTGGGTCACCTCCCCAGTTGGGGATTGAACTCATGCTGCAGTGGCTGCTGGTAGCTTGATAGTGCTGAGTCTTAAGCCTCTGCGCCATCAGGGAGGTCCATCTTTAATGTTCTGAGACAGCACCATACTCATTTTCATAAGGGTTGGACCAGTAGGCATTCATATTTTTAAAAAAGACTCCAAAGGATGTTCTGAAGCACAGTTGATACTGAGAACCATTTGGTAGACTCTTTATATACTTATCTGTGTAGACATAGCCAGTTGATTAATTGAAAAAAAGATTAAAGCTAAAAATTACTAATGATATATGTCTTAAACATTTAATTGGAAACTATAAATATATGTAAATTTACAAATCACTTGATAAGTTACCAAGATATTTTTAAGTATTGGTTCTTAGATTTGCGTTTAGTGTGTACATCTCTTTCATAAACCACCCCCAATTTATGGTACAATTTTCAGTTTTAGTTAAATTCGAATAAGATCTTAAATGGTTTTCAAACAAACTGCCTTCTAGATATATTTCTTTCTAGATATATTTAGCACATCTAGAGAGACTTGACATTCTGTGCATAATCTAGATGAAATATATGTATGCATGTGCATATACACACAAAGTATATATGTGTGTATAAAATATATATGTATTAGTGACTATAGCTAATTGGCTTGTACTTAACTAGAATGGGAGTGTGATGATTTTAACAAGGGAGCTTGCTATTCATTGCATTCAGAGCACCATAGTATCAATCTACATTTTATAAAGAGAATGGATATTTTTTGTTAATCTAGCAAATTGGTTAGATTAATGTATTTGATCTGTAAGATATCCCACTGGATTTTCATAATACTCGTAGTGGAGGAAGCAAAGAAAGTGTTAATATTT